AGCTAAAAGCACCCATTTTTAGCTAGCAAAACACCGGCGGAGAGTAGTAAAAGACAGGGAAAAGATCCTAACGAAGCTTACAACTTGGCAAAAGGCCTAGCCAAGGTGATTAAGCACTGACCCAGAGAGATGAGTTTTAAAAGCCACAGACCTCATTGCTTCCCAGGTCTCTGCTATCACCAGCTTTTCCCCCCAGCAGCTAGCTTTCAGAACCTCAAAAATGTGTTTAAAGAAATATAGAGGACTCAAGTACCCTGCTTTTCCGTATGTTCTAAGATCAAGCTCCCATAATATCTTAGCTTCAAGATCTTGACATGTTTTTGTATAGTGTCTGTTCAATGTCTACTTAAAACATTCTCAGCTGGGTGCAGTGGGTCATGCCTGTAATCCCAGCACTTTGGGAGGCCGAGGCGGGCAGATGGCCTGAGGTCAGCAGTTTGAGACTAGCCTGGCCAAAAGTGGTGAAACTTTGTCTCTACTTAAAATACAAAAATTAACTGGGTGTGGTGGTGTGCACCTGTAATCCCAGCTACTTGGGAGGCTGAGGCAGGAGAATCGCTTGAACCTTAGCAAGCAGAGATTGCAATGAGCTGAGATCACACCACTGCACTCCAGTCTGGGCAACAGAGTGAGACTCCATCTCAAAAAACAAAAACCAAGAAACATTCTCATTGCTATAGAAGCAGTTTAGTGCACTGATTAAGTCTGAGGTGCTGGAGTCAGACAATTCATGTTTAAATCCTGCCTCTTCCAATTTCTAGCATGGCCTTGGGAATGTTATATAACTTCTCTGTGCCTTGCTTTCCTCATTTGTAAAATGGAAATAAACTAATACCTTATTATGAGACCTCAGGTTGATAACAAATGTGAACTACTTAGTAGTGTGCCTGACCACGCCATAAATGTGGCTTTTATTATGGAAGCTACATTTGTTGAGAGGCTTAACCACTTATTTTGTTTATGTAGAGTCAACATGTTGCAGTGGACAATACGACAACCACAGCAGTAGGAACAGAAGAGCAAGAAAAAGATCTCTCTTACACTGAAAAATATTTCCTTCACCTGATTCCTAAAATACTGTACCTCAAAAGAGGCAGACTTTTATTCCACAATTAGAGAGAAATAGTTTAAAAGCACATGTTCTAGAATGTTACTTAGCATGATATGCCTTGATTTATGACACAATATTAATGGTGGTCAAATCCCTTACAGTTTTGAGAGAAGAGGAGGGTGGAAAAGGAAAGTGATAGGAGTGAGGATATCCATGAAGAGGAAGGAGAAGGGGAGGCTGATAGCATAGAAGCAAGCTGTGTCCCCAGGTCTGTCCTATTTCCCTACTTATAAATTCCCAAAATAGTTCAATTCCAGTGGGCCTGGGCAAATGTCTTTCTTAATGGGAAATATGCCTGCAAGTATTTTGAGAGTCCTCATATACACTGCCCTGGTTTCCTCATGTAGAAGCAGAGGGGAAAACAAAATGTTACTTTTGCTAAAATTTGTCGTGCCACCCGGTGAAGCCCCTGTTTTCTATTCTTTTCCCCACAGTGGTCTCTATTTACTTATTTATTTAGAGATGGTATGGGCATGTGGGGGTCTCACTATGTTGCTCGGGCTGGTCTTGAACTCAAAGGATCCTCCCACCGCTGCCTCTTTGTATGACTATGTATCTATGACTACATGCATGTGCCACCACATCTGGCTCCTATGGCCTTTAAAAGCACCAGAATCGCAGGCTACAGTCACCAATATCTGAAGTGTCTTTGGAGTCTGCTGGTAATCTTGGTAGTTACACCATTGTCTTGGTTCAAGTTTTCCTTCTTTCAATGACGGACTCTTAATTCGTTTAGTGCTTTCATTTTTCCCTCTCCAGGTATCTCTAAATGATCTCCTGAAAATCCCAGTCCACCATTTGACTCCCTGGCTTACAAATCTCCAATGCTGCTCCATTACCTAATAAGGAAAAAATCAATTTCATTAGTATGTTTGGGAAGGTAATTTCTGAACCCTGCTTAGCTTAAGAGTGTCATCTGCTGCACCTTCTCCTCCTCATTTGGACAGCAGCACTGAGATACCAGCTGTTCTCTAAACATGCCATGCTTTTTCATAGTGTTCTCCTTGCTTAGAATGTTTATTCTCTTTCTAGCCCCGCTTTGATCTCTAGAGATCCTTCAGGACCCTTATAAAATGTGACTGCTCTATGAAGGTTTTCCTGACATTTCTAGGCAGAATAGTTCATTTTCCTATGCTCCAATAATTGTGTGTTCATGCATTAATGTACTTCTCATAGAAAGTTCTTTTTTTGTTTAAGTATCTTGTTTCTTCTGTATTATGAGTTTCAAGAAGGAATGGACAGAGTTTGAATCTCAAATACCAGGGCTTGGTTTGTCATAGGCACTCAAAAATGTTGATTGTTGAATAGCTTCTTTCCAAGGCTCCCCATTCCTGCTTACAGAAATGCTACCATCTAAGGCCCACCTTAAGCACAGTCTCCCCTGAACCCCATTTTCTCCCACCTGGAGTGCTTTTTTTTCATCCTGAAGACCTACAGGAATTTCCTTTGTTCTCTGATTTGGAATTTTTAAAAATATATTTAAACAAGGTATTTAAAAAAATCTATCTCCTTGTCTGTAAGTTGATTGAAGTGCAATCTGTGTCTTCTCTCTCCAGAGATGCCTGTATTTCCTGAATCAGTATCTTATACCCAGCAGATTCTCTGAAAGATATTTGCTGAATGGAGGAGTTAAGCCAAGGAAAGATAATCCTTAGCGCAACTTCTGAAAAGATACAGGTGACAATACCCCTAGCTCCAAAACATTCTGCATAATGTCTGCTTTATTTCACTGCAGTTTATGAGTACTGCAATTCTAAGGGAGATTATGCAGCTGTCAAATAAAAATTATCAGTAATTCACACAGTAGAAAGGATAGATTCAGGTTTCTTTCCTCTTTAAACTTGCTTAATGTTGATTAGATATTGACAATGATCAATACATTACATTTTTAGTTCTATGGATTTCCAGTAAATTAAGCTTTTCTATGTATACAATCATAAGCTCTGTAAGGAATTATAATTTGGTATCTTATTTTCAATATTTAAAACTCATATTTCTAAACTCACATTTCATTTTTAAATTTTATTATTTTTAGTTAATTATGTGATAGCTCATAATTCCTTGCTTTGACTTTTAGTTTAATGGTGTAGAAGTTCTAATTACAGTGTCTTCGAGTCCCCTTCTCCCGGCAAAAAACTTAGCTAATATAAGAGGATGGAGATGATGAAAAATTGGATTGAGGACCAGGTAGAAGGTTATCTAGGTAGTCATATCCTTTATAGTTTTGAAAGAAAGGAGGTGGAAAAGGGGAAGGGGTGGGAGTGAGGGTATTAGGGAAGAATTGGGATGAGAGTAAAATGAATTGATTCTATCTTGGAATTCTTGGGGCAAGAGGATGCGTACTGGCACTGGGGACTGGAACAGTGGTTGAATAAGGAAGGTCAGATGATGCCAATGACTAATTTCACCCGCTTTGGAAATTTTCTTTCAGATACCTTTCTTCCAGTTTGGCATCAGAAATCACAAGGCAGATATATCATGGGGCAAAAAGACCTTTGTGGAGACTCTAACATTGCTTTTATAGAAAAAACATGACCACATTTTCATACACTCAACAAACATTGGGGGCACTGCCTGCTCTAAGTGCAAGCTGCATAAAATAAATTGATACGCAAATGAATTTTTTTATTGGTAAGTGCAAAAAGATTACATTTACTGTTTAAAAAAGATTTAATAGAAACAATTTAAGAAAAAGGAGGAGTTGATGGAAAATAGTAGGCTAAGAATTGAATATAGAAATAGATATGAAGAAAATTGGAAGAAAGTTACTTCAGGCTGAAAAAGTGTTTAAAAAAAAAAAAAAAAAAAAAAAAAAGACTTAGATCACACACTTGGTGGTGACCAGAGACGGTTTGTCAACATTTTGGAAGAAAAAAATTTTACAAAAGGAGAAACTAAGTAATGCTGGAGAGTGGGAAGCTGAAAGGTATTGAAAGGAAAAGAGTGTTTCGAAGTCACGAGATATCTCCCTGGGAAATACAGTTGGCAAAATAGCTGCTTTTAAAGAGGTTAACTATTCTCCCCAAATCTTCTGACTGTGAGCTAGCTTACTTTGTATTTACCCACTTAGAAAGTGTTTCAACACTTAAAGACCTAGCAAGGAGACCACAAAGTGAGATGTTACATGCTTTTCCAAAAGAAACACGACTAACTGTAAATTGTCATCAAATACAAATGGAATGGGTTTTCTCTTTTGGGTTTTTATTTTTTATTTTTTGGTTGTTAGTTTTCGTTTAACGGTTTCAAAAAATATGTAGAAGGGAAATATTTCATTTTCCTTGGACGCTCAACTGTATATATTTCAAGATTCTTAAAACTCCCACCTCAAACTGCAGGCATAATTTTGATGTGTTCATTTTTTACGAGGTGTGTCAACGTTTCATCAATTTCTGAAAAGTGCCTATGGCCCTGAAAAGTTGAAATCCACGACATTCTATCATCTCTGCGAGCCCTTTCCAGCTCTCAAGGTACAATAATCCCACGAATCTTTGTTCCTCAAACCAGGAGGTTTTCTGGAAACCTTCTTAAACATAACCAGGACAGGACCTATGATGGAAATCTTGGGGATGCTCTGAGCAGCGAACGGGCTTGGGAAGCGCACCCCTCGAACCGGGCTGCCTCCGCCCCGCACGCCGCAGCTCCCCAAGTCGGCTCCGCGCTCCGCACACAGGCGGCGGTGCTGGGGCCGCTCCAAGTGCGATGAGAAGTGTAATCCCTCCGCTAAGTACTTGGCTCTCAGTCTCCAATCACTAGTGGGAGCTGGAGAGGGCAAGTGAAAAAAAAAAATTCCAGAGGCAGCCGAGGAGCGAGAGGAAAAAAAAAAAAAAAAAAAAAAAAAAAAAAAAAGTCCCGCGGTGGCGGCGGCGGCGGAGCGGCCGCGGCGGCCAGAAGTTGACGGCGCGGCCGGGCGCGGGGCGCCGGGCAGTGCAGTGCGGAAACCGCGGCGCCGAGGACGCGTGAGCTGGGAGCGTAGCCGCGGGTAAGGCGCGCGCGGCGGGGCCCCGTCCCCTGTGGGTGGCCGAGTTCCCGAGCGCGCGGGGGGCGGCCGAGCCGGCAGGAGCCGGGCAGAGCGAGGAGTGGCGCGGGACGGGCAGCAACTGGGTGCGGGGCTGGGCGGTGGTCCCCCCAGGCAGGACGGAGCGCGCGAGGGAGGGGGCGGGCTGCGCGGCAGTGGGGCGGTGGCGGCGGCGGCGGGGAGGGGGTCAGGCGGTGGCCGCCTCGGCTTTGTGCGCGGGCGGCTCTGCCCGGACCCCGAGGCCTCGTGCCCGCGCAGGCGAGGAGTCGGGGCAGGGGCAGCAGCGGCGGCGGCGGGCGGGACACGTGCTTCGGAGCTGGAGGGACGCGCCAAGGCAGGGAGTCGGACCTGCGAGCGGAGGGATGGGGCGGGAGGGCGAGCTGAGGGCAGTCGCGCAATCCGGGAAATGGGAGGGAGCCTGGCGGGGCGGGGGCCCAGGGCCAGCCCCGGCGGGACCCGCAGGCACCCACCTGCCCCGGACGCCTCCCGAGACCCAGCTTTGCCGCGGGGGAAAGTGCGCAGCGGGACTGGTCCCGGCTCCTCGGACTGGGCTCCGTCTTTGCTTCCGTTGTCTGTCTCTTCTCTGTCTCTCTCTCTGCCTCTCTCTCGAGTTCTGGGTCTTTCATTCTCTCCCTCCTCTTCTTTCTCCCTTCCTCTCCTTATTGTTATCCTTTGCCTTTCCCCGCGGTCTCTCTCTCCTTCCGTGCGTCTGTCTCCCTCTTCCCACCGCCTGCTCTGGCTCTCCCAGTGTCTCCCTCCTCTGTCCCTTCATCCTCTTCGCTCTGTCACTCTCGCACACTCTTTTGGTGTCTCTCTCTCTCTCTCTCAAGAGGCTTTCGCTCCCGGTCTTCCTGGCTCCCCTGTCTCTTGCTCTCTGCGCCCTTCTCTCTGCTCATCCCTTTTTCTGTCCAGGCTCCGTGTTTCCCCCTGTCTTTGGCGGTGTTGGAGAAGAGCCTTTGGAAGTTGTCCGCTGCGGTGCGGACACCCCTCCAGCTGGGTCCTGCTGTTTGTTCTGAGTGGAAACGCTGCAGTTTCCTTGAGTTATTAGGAACTGCTGTTTTTTTAGCCACCTTTCCACCGAGGTGAGGTCAGTGACTACGAGCGGCCACAAAGTTGCCAGTGAAAGAAAACGGAGGAAGAGAGCCGTTTCATTACCTCCAACAGATAATGTGTTAATACCAAACTTATCTGCAGCGAAGCAGAGCCACCTGAGAAAAGGTTCCTGAGTTCTGCAAAGAAACACGAAAAGCTCTAGTGGAAATGAGAGGGTTCATTGCAAACACTAAAAAGTGTTTGCAAATAATTTGAAAAAGCACTTAATGGAAATCTCTTGCTGACGAATCTGTTTTCTTACATATATTTTTAGGATTCCAGTGACAACTCTCCTAATTATTGTTTTGGGCAAGTTATGGGAAATGTCCTGTGTCAACTGGGACGTTAGTATTTAAGAAAATATTCAGTCTTTGTACTTTATACCTCTTTACACACTAGTGATCAAGAAGAATTATTTCTAACTGTAAAGAAAATAGTAAAGGATTTGTCAGTAGTTTTAAAACATGAGACATTCCAGGGATCAATAATGTTTTTGGAAAAACTTTCATTATAAGGATGTTTTGAAGGATATTACATCTTAGTGAAATATGTAAGTTATTACACACTTAGATCATTGTGCAGTGCAAAAAAGTTTATAATCAGATCATAGTAGTGATGTCTTTATGGGAAACATAGCTGGGAAATTAATTGCTCTGATTTTCACTGTTTTCTTTAGTCATGCATAATGTACCTTTGTGTTTAGCAAAATATGGCCTAGAGCTACAAAACTTGATACAGTGTGTTATTTGTCCAATCTGAATTACCATTTAGAAAACCACCCTTTCCTTTTAGTTACATGATATAAGTTGATATGATCTCATTACTCATGTACTAGAGGCCGCTGATGAAGTTTAATGGCACTGATTTGTGTTTTTAAATCAAAATGTTAGTTTTTGGTGAGTTAAAATCTTGATTTATGTCATGTTAGTGAATCATCACTATTTATAGGGGCTTTGCCACCTTGTCTGCCAGGTGCTGCCCAGCATTTAGTCTAGGCTAGGTTGTCTGAAATTCGCTCTTAGATTATTGTCCCTGAGTGACGTGCTGCCACGGCCTGCTTATGTATGTTTCTCAAAATGTTCCAGTCGTTAAATAATATTTATTAAAAGGAAATTGACTTAAATTTTTCCTCATAAGCTTTGGGAACTGTGAGAGATGGCCTGATAAAGTATTTTTATTACAGTAAATGCTGACTTACTATTATTTGTTTAAAAGTATAAGGCAGTTTAAAATATAAGGCAGTGCTTATCTTTTGCCACATATAGCACCTCCTCCAGCTCTTTCTGAGCACTCAACTCGTATTGTCATCCAAATCTAGAGTCAGTTGTCACCTACTCCAACCTAGCAGAGCCTTCCTGATTTTCAGAAGCCCCCTCACCACTGCCTCTGCCTCTCAGGCTTCTCAGTGCCCCTCTTTTTGGTGTCCACCTCTGTGCTATATGGTTACTTGCTAGGCGCTTCCTTGTTGGCCTTTGTCTCATTGAGGTGAGACAGTGTCCCTTCTTTCTTTTTCTCTGAATTTCCGATGCCCAGCCCAGTACCTGGTATATGATAGATACTCAATAAATCCATGTAGGACGATTGGTTCTTTTCCAAATTGCCTCTAACTTGTGATACTGATTCTTTGTGGATGCAGTAGCTCAAGGGAAATACTTTAGAATAGTGTAATAGCAGATCATAGACTTAGGATTGAAAGAGTCTTAGCATGTCATCACACACGTTAATAATGCTGAAGAGGATGAGGCCCAGAGAGTTTGAAAACCATGCTCAGAAATAGAAAGTGAGGCGAGGATGGCTATGAAATTGAGACTTTACTTTTTTTTCACGGTGCCACAGTTATTTTCACTGGACTTATGTTTGACTTCTTTCACTCGAAGTGGGTAAATATGTCTATAAGTAGAAGCTGGCAGTTATACTCTAAACTCTGAAGATTTCATGTCACCCTGTAAAAGCCATGCATGAAATGTATAACTTTGCAATAACTGATAATCATTTCTGATGCATGTAAGCATCGAGCTAATACTGATCTTTTGGGACCTTGACTCCTAAGTTGTTTCTATGTGGTCGGCATTGTTCTGGGTGATAACTGTGTTGGGCAGAATTACTATTTCTTACCTGCAAAGAAGATTTAAGGTCTCTAGACTTATATTTTCTGCTCTATAATTCTCTCTCTCTCTCTCTCTCTCTGTGTGTGTGTGTGTGTGTGTGTGTGTGTGTGTGTGTGTGTTGAAGGGGGTTAGGGAGAAGAAAAAGGAAGTTTGGACCAGATTAGTGGTTCTTTTTGAAGTTTTCTTCAGAGACTACCAGTTTAACTCCCAGAACAACTGCAAATTCATCTGTTTTACATATCAGACTTCCTGGTAAGCTTTTGTTTTATAAAAGGCTAACACAGCTTTAAAAAAGCTTGAAGACCTCTTTACTTGTTGTCCTCCAGTCTCTTCCAGTTCTTGAATTTCACAATCAGGATCATTTATAGCTTTTAAATATGGGTATTCGGAGGATGGTTGGTAAAAGTATTAAGGACAGAAGGAAAAACTGATTTTGCCTTAGAGATACTATTAATAATTTCAGGTTTCCATATGCTGAATTTTATGTGATGGCAGAAATTGAAGTAGAATTGTTGAGATATGTATAGGCAGGCCAGAATTCAGGGAAAGGAGAGGTTGTGGCTAGAAAGGTAGATTAAAAAGTCACTTATATTGACTTAATAATTTAAGTTGAGTGAAAATAAAACTTCTTAGGGATGGAGTACAGAGAGAGAGAGAAATAAGCCAAGATTTAGGAGTAGACAAAAAGGACAATTTGTTATGTTATTTCTGGGTATTTTTAAAGCCCATCACAGTAGTAAGAAGGATAATGTATAATTTACATCAGGCAATACTTTGTTTGCATGATGTTCAGGACATCCACTTACATGCCAATATTCTAATTACATTCATTTTACACTCTTTGTGTGGCACTGTTATACACTGTGGGGACACTGTGACTATAAGAGAAACAGGATCCTTGCTGTCATTGAACTTCTAGGGAGTGAAAACACAATGAGCTATCAACAAACACAAGAATAGGATTATTTCCAATAGTGAAATTTGCCGTTAGGAAAACAGGACAGGGTGATATGACAGCATGTGACTGGGCTACTTTATATGAGATGGTCAAGGGAGGCCTCTGTAAGGATATTCTTGAGTAAGAAGAAAGAGCCAACCCCATGAAGATCTGAAAGAACTTCCTAGCAGAGGACGCACTAGGGCTGTCTCTAAGAGTAGCAAGCTAGGCACTCACTGGCCAGGAAGGCTGGACTCAGGCAATTAGAGGAAGTGGTAGGAATGAGGTCACAGAGGTGGTGAGGTTCATGGCATGAAGTATGCATTTTATTCAAAGTATATTCTGTTGAACACTCTGGAGGATTTTAAACAGAGAAGTGAACAAATAGGATTTAGCGTGTCTGTGCGTAGTGTGAGCAAGAGTGCCTGAATAAGGCCATGTGGGAGGCTGTGAAAATGATGTAGGTGAAGGGTTTGTTGGCTTGCCCAAGGGTGGAACCTTGAGAGGCTGATCAGACATTGTTCTTATCATGGAATAGAAGAATCATGGAGTTGAATCATCTTTTTTTTTCCGGGGCTGGGGGCTGGGGATGTGCCAGGATCTACATTGCAGCAGTTCACTGGTTCAAGAGTTACTTTTACTTTTGAATTTCAGACCTCAGCACCTTCTTAGAGTTCCCAGATATCACCTCTTTACCTCATCTCAAATATCTCATGGGCTGCAAGCTTCTTCCACGTGAGAGCGTATAATATGTCCTAGGAAGTATTGCGGTAAGCTTCTTAGTGAGTGGAGATGATTCTTGGACTACACTGAGATGGTTGGTTCTT